TGGGAACTGGGAGGAGGGGAGTTATGGGGGGAAAAAAGAGGAACAAATGTAATAATCTGAACAATAAAGATTTAATTAAAAAATAAATAAAATAAAATAAAATAAAAAATAAAAAATAAAAATGTTTTGATTGATTTTTGAAGAGGGAGAGGGAGAGGGAGAAAGAGAAACATCCATCGCATGCCCCCTCCTGGCATGCACTTGCATGTGCCCCAACCGGGAATCCAACCTGCCACTTTTTGGTGCATGAGACAACACTCAACCACCTGCTCAGCCAATTAAGCCACACTGGCCAGGGCTTTGTATTAATTCTTACAACTGCATGTGAATAAAAAATGATCCCCAAACTTATAAAGTTTAATTAAAAATATAATTTGTGATTTATTTGTCCTTTTTCTTTTTCCTTTGATTAATTTATATATCACATATGCATAGGTTGCAACATGGTCTTAACACAAAAGATACATTTTCTTGATTACTATTACATGCTACATTTACCCACATAAAATAGTCTCCTTTTGTTAAAGGATTCTTTTAAGTTAGGCACCTTTGTTACATTTAGAAGAATATAAACATATAAAAAGATAAATGAACACAACGATTTCCTTTGATAGTTCCACCCTGTCTTTTGGTTTCATTGCTCAAAGTTCCTCTATTTTTTAACGTTTTTTTCTTTTTGGTCATTTATTTTAATATGACTTGCAAAACCATAAAATGAGGAAGCTACAAGGTTAGTTTCATACAAAGTGTCTTTAAATACACTGGTATCCGCGGCGGCATGTGTTGACAACAGCCTGTTGGGAATGGAAAGAGAAAGTTCTCTCACCAGAAAGCTTGGAATCTTTGCGTTGACTTTGAACTCTCAACAGTCAATAGCGCTGGTAACGGTACTAGGCGGTCGGTCCTGGGTCCTGGGGGGCGCCCGGACGCCGGGTGGTGGAGGTGGGAGCCCAGCCGCCGCCCCACAGGAAGCTGCCGGCTGCTCGCCGGCTGCAATAGCGGCCCCGCGCGGCAGCGTCGGAAACTGCAGGAGCTCCGCATATTCTGGGCCACTGGGAGGAGGAGGGGCCACCTTGCCAGAGCCTGTGCTCTGCCAAGAAAAGCATTGAAGTGGGACCAGGGCGATTTAAGCATTGAAGCTGGGCGAGGGTGACCGAGGACTGCACCTGTTCTGCACCCCATACAATGCAGCGGGCCGGGGTCACACTCCTTCCTGGGTTCGTTCTGGGAAACGGGGGAATCTGTGACATCCCTCCCGCCCCCCACCGCTCGCCCCCCATGTACTCCGAGCACTGGACCACCCTCTGGAGGTCTCATGGCGAAGGGAATTTGGGGGAGAGGGAGAATGAAGAGTGCATGGAATTTGTGGATATTCGATTTGGGCAATTAATGTCAAAAAGTATTCCAAAACTGTTGTACTTCAAGTCGCTCTCCATCATCCCCAATCTTGGTTTTGTCATCCTTTACATTTTTTTTTTTCTGTTCGTTTTGGTGGTGTGAAAGGGCATCACATTATGGTTTAATTTGACCCTTCAGGATCTGTTTTGCTACTATTCTTCCTTCACCCTCCTGCCAAAACCTGGGGTCATCCTAAATTCCTCTTCCCTTTCCCTCCACATCAGCAGATGTTGTTGGTTCCACTTCCAAACATGCCCTTTCCTCTCCCTTTCTACCACCACATCCCTGATCCAAATCATTAAAATTTCTCTCAAAGCTTCCAAAGATCTCCCTCCAACTCTGCTAAATCACATCCCGCTCACATCCACATGCCCAGACAATAGCCTTCCTGAAATATGCATCAGATCTAGCATCCCCACCTAAAAGCTGGCCCCTCCACACTTCTCCAACCTCCTCTCTTTACTAGACTTCAGGTGTGCAGGCCGCGGTCTCATCTCTGACCACCTCCAGCCCCTTTGCACATGCTGCGGTCTGCTTTCCTCTCATTCTCAGTTCAAAAGCCCCACCTCCACAGAGAAGCCTTGTCTAAATTAGGACCCCACACCCAATCAACCCATCAGTCACTCTCTCACATCACCATGTTGTTTTCCTTCCTAGCCTCTCTGTAAAATAGAGATTCTGGTATTTATCTATTATCTTCCTCTAAAATATAAGTTGGATATGGGCAGAGACTGTGTTTATCTTGATCACGGTGAAATCTCTAGCACATTATCACAGGATCGGTTCAGAAAAGGCATTCAATAAATATGTTTGTACAGCTAAATAGCTAAAGCCCTTTCTTCTGTTTTAATACATTGTGTACCGCATAGAAATCTCTAAGACATACGCCAGGGACCACACGTTTTTTGGGCAAACTGCACGTTATTTAAATCATCATAATGCACTTTAGGTGTTGTTTTTCAATAATTATAACATTTTTATTTACAAAAACAAACAATTAAAGTTCCTAGTACTTTTATAACGTATCGTACTACGTAAAACATTTTCCTCTATGAAGAGGGACCAAACAAAATTTACATAAGTATCTAGATTCGCTCCTTTTTCCATGGGTGTGAAAAACGAGAACACTCGTGAGCGGTCCTTAACAGATGGCTCGAGAAACACGAGAAAACTCCTGAGCGGTACGAAATATGTTAAAAAGGTAAATGTGGCTGTTACACCACGGAAATGGATCAGGAGGTGTGATAGTTGCACAATAGAGACTCTTTCACTTCAAACAACAGCATGGATTTTACATGAAGTCGGAGGAATCCCTTCGCTAACATACAAGCATTCCTGTGAAAACGCCTGCTCTAGGAATGGATATATCTACTAGAAATATGTGTTGTTGTTTTTTTAAAGATGGCAGAATTGAAACAGAGATTATGGGAAATGAATGTTTTATCAAGCATTGCTTATAAATCCAGATAATAATTGAAAATACGTTGCACAAATGGAAATCTTAAGTAATGCTATTCTTCTACCTTCCACACATATTTTTTAAAAGAACTGAGGGCCAGGAAATGTTACAGTTTTTGCATAATAGGCAGGAAATTTGCCTTTGAACAAAAACAGAAATCTCAGGACAAAGATCAAGCATATCTTTTTAAAACTGATTTCATAGTAATTGTTCTACAAATATTGAGTCACTTATATTATCTTTAAGCATATCAATTCTTTCCCTTAAGCCCATCGATAATCCCTTTAACACAATCAAAGTTACTAGTTAATGTCAATTCACATACTTTCTTTCCTTGTTAATATACAAAGGTACATTCACAGAATCAGTGCATTTTGAATAAAAAGTAAACAGAGCAAACAGGAGACCCAGGGTCAATAACATCTTCAAGCCCAAGTTTGATCATCTAGAAACACAAAGTTTTGTTGATTTTCAACTACTCTTCTCAGATGTAATGCTTTAAATATGGCTGGTTCAGCAGGCCAGCTTTTTTTTTTTTTTAAATATGTATCTTTATGGATTTCAGAGGGGGAGAGAGATAGAAACATCAATGATGAGAGAGAATCACCTATCAGCTGCCTCCTGCACGCCCCTCACTGGGGATCGAGCCCACAACCCAGGCATGTGTCCTTGACTAGACTCAAACCCGGGACCCCTCAGTCTGCATGCCGACACTCCATCCACTGAGCCAAACCGGCCAGGGCTCAGCAGGCCAGCCTTGCAGGACAACAGTATGTGCAGCCAGCCACCATGGATCATCCAGAAATATATGGACACTTCCAGGATGCTGGTGTGGGTTCATGGAGTTCTGTGCGTAAAATTAAGAACACTTTTCAAACTTTCAAACTTTAATATTCAAGGCCAGGAACATCCATCTCCCAACCCTGTATCTCCCAAGGTTCTCAAGGCTGGTTTTCATCAGGCAAGAGAGCACGCTGTTCCTCCTCTGTACCAAGGATACTGTGAACTTTTGATCTACATTGAAGGAAAGAAAATTAGAATCGTAATATTTCTCATCTTAAAATAATTCAGTACCTATGTCTCTATCCAACTACCTCCTCAAAGGTATCTGCCAAGTCCTGAGGCTTAGAGCACCTAGCAATCTGCTGACTGTCAGAATGGAGGTAGAATGGTGTTTCTTTTTCATCTCCACAAGCCAACTTTTATTTTTTATTATTTTTTCCTTAATAATCCTTTATTGTTGAAAGCATTACATATGTCCGTTTTCCCCCCCATGGACCCCCTCCAGCCTGTCCCCGCCCCCCGCCCCAGGCCTCCCCCATACCAGGCCTTCAGCACCCTGTTGTCTATGTCCATGGGGCACATATCACTTCATTGAAAAGTTCAAGGCCCATGACCATTTGAAGTTAAATGATTAAAAGAAAAACAATTGTGTGATGAAGTACAAGCCCGCAACACGGGCATGTGCCCTTGACGAATTGAACCCAGAACCCTTCAGTCTGCAGGCCAATGCTCTATCCACTGAGCCAAACCAGGTTGGGTCACAAGCCAACTTTAAAGGGAGAAAGAAGTTCAAGAGTTGACCATACCTTCTTCTTCTCCTTGAGTACTCCAATAGATAAAACAAGCCCATCAATAGTCCCTTTAACACAATCAAAGTTACTAGTTAATGTCAATTCTCCAAGTCATGTTTCTCCACACAAAGAAAATGAAAATATAAGACTGATTACTCACACTTGTCAGAGCCCACAGACCTTGTACAGCTGCTGCCCATTCAAAACCAATTTTCTCATACAGAAATCCACCCAGTGTTGGTCCCATAAAAGCACTAACAATGAAAAGAAGAAAGGGTATTAAATAATAGAGGGAGAGGGAGAGAGGGAGAGAGGGAGAAAGAGAGAGAGAGAGAGAGGGAGAGAGGGAGACAGAGAGAGAGAGAGATATGGGGAGAAGGGGGGGGAGAGAGATCCTTCCTAAGGTTGCATGCTCCTTCAGTTATAGGTTTTCATTAAATTGGAACTATAAATTCTAAAGAAAAATGGTGATTCCTGGACCCAGCATTGGGTATAAGAAAATGGTTCTACCTGAAAAATGATGATGCTTAAATCTTTTAAACAATTGTATAATTATAACTGCTTCTGAAAAGTTGATGCCTTACACGAAAATAAAATTAAAAGAGAGGCATTCAAAATAATTTTTATACTATTCTCTCTACTCAGTGTTTGTATTAAAGATAATTTAATTCAGTACATATTTATGGATGATATCTACATTGCCAGCATACAGTTATCCCTTTGGCATGGTAGAGAGTAACAAAATAAATAAGTAAATAAATTTTAAAAATGGAGATATGGTCCTGATAAGTGAACTTAAAAATATCATTTTTATAAGACACGCATGGGACCATTTTGGTTAGGTATATAAAACTGCTGGCATAACCAATGATCTTAGAGTCAGAGGGCACAGGTAAAACTCTGGTTCTGCCCTAAATAAATTTTGCCAACTCATCTGGTATCTCCATTTGTTCATCTGTAACTGAGGGACAGTATTTTCCATCTTGCCAGTGTGAATGGAATTCAATGGCTACTCACCCAACGGACCACATTGCACTGAAGAGACCTGACACGAGTGCCAGTGTACTTAATCCTTCTTCAAATCCATTTTCACTGCAAAGAGAGACAAGCGTGTATCAGTGATTGCAAGGGAAGCTGTGTGACGAAAAAGAACTGTAAGTCAGGATAAAGTAAGCCAGGAGTAATCTGAACAAAACCAACAGCAAGATTACTCCATTTCTAAGATAAAAAGCTAATCTAAGTTGAAGGAATTGTCATACTAATGTCTACTTCCTGGTTTTCTAAAAAATAATTTTGTTGCATATGTAAGATACAACATTAAGAATCACAATCCATTTGCACTAAATGCTCAGAAAAATATATAATGAAGAAATTCTTAAAATGGGATGAGCATGTAAAGGCAACTTTTAGAAAATGCAGGGCAGCTCCTTCTTCCTGTGGGAGATGTTGATTGACACAGCCTAAAGGCCAATATTCTCCCTGAAGGGATAAACTCCCCCAAGTTCACTCTGTGTTCTCCATCATCAAGCCTGCTAAATGGGAGACTGCTGACCAAGTGACAAATGTCTGGTGTGATACTGTGATTTATTGTAAGAAATACATGTTTGGTCTTGGTTCATTTCTGGCACACACAGCTCCTAAAATCTTTGAAATATCCTGATTGAAAGCAATAAAAGTCTTTGTTATATTAATGAGGTGACTTTTGGAAAACACCTAAGGATGGTGGCCGGTTGCTAGGAGAGCTGTTCCTGTGATTAGAGGGTTGAAACTTGCAGTCCCCCCACCCTCATCCCTCCACACCATTCACCTCTGGGCTGGAGGTTGAATCAATTGCCAGTGATCGACGATTTAATCAACCATGCCGGAGTAATAAAACTCCCATAAAAAACCAAAAGGACGGTTCAGAGAACTTCCTGGTTGGTGAACCGGAACGCTTACACCTGCCAACGTGCAGGGCCCGAACTCCATGAGTATAGGAGCTCCTTTGTTTAGGACCCCGCCATGTGTATCTCTTCATCTGGCTGTTGATTCCTACCCTTTATTATCCTTTGTTATAAACATAATCTGGGAGTAAATTGGTTTCTGGAGTTCGGTGAGCTGCTCTAGTAAATGAATCAAATCCAAGGAGGGGATCATGGGGACATCTGATTGACAGCCAGCCAGTCAGGAGTACAGGTGATACCCTGAGCTTGTGACTGGCATCTGAAGTGGGGACAGTCTTGTGGGACTGAGCCCTAAGCCTGTGAAATCTGATGCTGTCTGTGGGTGGTCAGTGTCAGAACTGAGTTGAATTGTAGGCCACCCAGCTGGTGTGAGAGAATGGCTTGGAAAACCCCTCACGCATTGGACTTGGTACTAGAGCCATTTTGCCTGGTTACTCTATGCTCTTGGATGGACCTCGTCCACGAGAGAGGAATAATGCCAAGGCTTTTCCATTTTGCTTTGGTTGTTTAAATGTGTATCTGTACATAAACCAAGCTACGCCTCTATCCACAACCCAGTTTAACTATTACTGTATACATTATCATTTATATTATTGCATTATTGCACATACTATTTATATCACAATAGTGTGTGACATGATATCATAAAGATATATTATTGTGAAAAAAAAACACACTTCCAAAATCTCACAAAATTGAGAAATCCACGAAAGCCTGTTTAAAATACAGCTCTTGCCTGGCCAGCGTCAACCACTGAACCAGGATGTCATAGTTCGTGGGCTTGATCCCCAGTGTAGGGTGTGCAGGAGGCAGCCGATCAATGATTCTCTCTCATCATTGATGTTTCTATCTCTCTCTCCCTCTCCCT